TCACCCTTGCTGTTCCTTATCTCTTTTCTGCTTCAGAGCCATCTGATGCAGCGTAAATGTTGATGTGTTTCAGTTCCGTGACTCAGAGCTAGATCGAAATTCAGGATGATGGGATTTTCTGCCACATGCCACCCACCCATTATTTCAGCCATATTAAAAGGGTTGCCTTGGGGCAGACTAGATAGCTCAGAGGACTAAAGTGCCTGCTTAGTAGAGTGCAGGGGCCAGGGTTCAATCCCTGTCATGCCATGCCAGCCCCATGCCCAGGGCACACTGAGAGGGCCACTGAGACTGGGCATGGTGGAGTACACACCTGTCATCCCAGTGCTTGGGAGGCTGAAAACAGGAGGATCAGTACGAGTCCCATCTACATAGTGAGACCCTGTAGACCCTGTACTAAATACATTTAAAAAAAAAAGTTTGCCTTGGCCTAGAAATGAGTGTGTAGATGACATGGTGCCCTTTGCCTGCGTGCAAAAACCAATGTGAATGTTGGGCATTGCAGAGAGTTGTGGAGTGCTCTACTTTGGCAAGCAAGAAAGGTGACCCCATGAATCATATCGATGAAAGCACTACTGGTGTATCACTCACAAAGAGCTCCAAGGAAAAGACATGGGACTCTCCAAGAACTTTTAAGGCAACTTAAAAATAAGCATGTATGGGCTGGCAAGATAGCGCAGTGAACTAAAGTACTTGCTTAGGCAAGTTTAAGCAAGCACAGGGACAACAGTTTGAACCCCTGCACCACATGCCATACCAGCCCCACCTCCAGGACAGGCTGAGCTGGCCAGAGTCCAGGCATAGTGGTGCATACCTGTAATCCCAGCGCTGGGGAGGCTGAAAGCAGGAGGATCACCATGAGTCTGAGCTGCATAGTGAGACCCTGCAACAACCAAATATATTAAAAAAGCATGTACAGTTCCCCAACTTCAGTTAAACTGATAATCATATTCATTTACAAGTTTCTGAAATTGTTTTGTAAACAACTCCATAAAACCTCCTTTTAGTATCAGTAGTGATCAAATAGTTTTCTTCAACTTGGAACTAAGTAAAATAAAACATTTTATTTTGGATGTGCTTGCCATGCAAATCTGCAAGGTAAATGTTTGCGAATAGCTTGGGATACACAATGTTTCTCAGGTGGACACGTATGTTTGCATAGAGCCTCTTAAGCAAATGCCCGAGCACGTATTTTAGAAAGCACTGTCCCACAACCTTGTCCCCTTTCTCTGCTTCTTCTCCCATGGCAAAGAAAATGGGAGTGAGAAGTGCTTCTCCTGGTTAGCAGCACTGATGTGCATCTTTAGCGGCTAGAATGTCATTTCATAGTGAATTTTATGTTTATGGAGATATGAAGTTGATTCTGGCACCGATTGGACACCCAGGTTGAACAGGACTTTGGCATGCATGAGATGATAGATACGTATAATCCAACCTGCTTATTGCAGTTACCAGAGTAGAAGCCCACTGATGAACACTGAGGTTGCTTCCTCCAAAAGAAGAGTTCCCGCGCCGTGATGTTATTTTCAGACTTAATCTGACTTTTCAATTTTCACCGGCCAGTTGGGAGCTAACAGTAACCTGCATTTGTTTACTTGTGTTGGTACTGGGAATCAAACCCAGGACCTCGCATTTGCCAGGATGACACTGTGTCACTGAGGTACATCCCTGGTGGTCACCTGTGTTTCACCTAAAGGGTATGTCAGTGCAATTGACAGTATTTAAAAATACTTTCATGATCCATTTTGAAGAGACAGAGTGCGGGGGGCTCCTCTGATCCAGGGGCCCAGAACCAAAGAGAGATGGAGTTTGAGAAGCTAGTAGCTCAGGGTTCGAGGACAGGGGCCCCATGGCTGAAGTTCAGGGGGTGGAGTGGGGTAGGGTGGGTTCTGGTCTTAGGCTTTTTGGCCTTGTTTTGACAATGAACATGTCTCGGCCTGTAAGAAATAGGAAGGTCGTTGATCATTCACAATTTCAGGAGTCTAATGATGCAAGTGAAGACTAGGGAAGAGATTCAGGTAATCCCTCTAAGAAAATCCGATCATCTCCTTGAGAAGCTAAAATTAAGAGGCGGTCTGAAAAGAATTCACAGGAAGACAGTGAAGACGCAAAAGAAAAAGATGTGAGGACCAAGGAGGATGATTGTCGGTCAGCAGAGGACAGTGAAGATGAAAAGGACGATCATAGACATGTGTGCCAACAGCGGCAGGCAGCATCTCAAGTAGCTTCCACAGAGAGAAGGACGCTCACGGAAGACGCGAGTAGTGAGGAGGAGCAAGAGGAAGAGGATGAGGCGCCATTCCAGGGGAAGGATTCCGGCGGTGATGACGATTTCCTAATGGAAGATGATGAGGACAGTGACTACGGCAGTTCAGAAAAGAAAAAACCAAAAAGATGGTTTAGAAATCCGGGGCCAGCCAAATAGCTCAGTGGATTAAAGTGCCTGCTTAGGTAGACGCAGGGGCCGGGGGTTTGATCCCCTGGCCTGCCATGGCAGAGACAGCGATTGAGACTGGGCGTGGTGGTGCGTGCCTGTAATCCCAGTACTTGGGAGGCTGTAAATGGGAGGATCACTACTAGTCAAATTTACACAGTGATGCCCT